TATAAACATAGAAAAAGAATGTATCATTATATCTTACACAATATTTTTGATAATTTCTTTTTTGTCATTTAAAAATCATATTTATTTCATTAAAAACAAAAACAAACTATACACACCAGAAGAAAAAAAAGAATAAATAAAATGAAAGAGAGAAGAAAAATGTATACCCCCTTTTTTCCCAAGAATAAATTAAAACAAAGGTCATTTACTCAAAATTTAAATCTAGATGAGTGCAAGCTGATCCACACAGGTTAATGCTCTTCTTAAATTTGAAACATAGGGGGAGTCAACACAACATGTTTACTTCTCATGACTGTTTGTGGAGGAAATTTATGGTTCTGCAGTGAGGAATTTGTTTTTTTGTTGTTGTTGTTTTTTGTTGTTTTTTTTTAGTATTTTAAAGCATTTAAACAAAAAAAGACACATTCAAGCTTTCAAGAGATGAAATTCACAAAAATATGACAAAATAAAAGATTACCTATAATGATATAATTTTTATTCTCCATTAAAAGTTAAGTTAAATTAATCTACGCTGCAATAATTAGAATATTTAATATTTATTTATTGCTTTTTGGGACGTCTCATTTGTTCAACTTCTGTTTTATTCATTTTTATACGACTGTATTTGTTCAGAGACTGGATGCAGTCATGAAGGCATGAAATCCTGATAGTCATAGAGTGCCCAAATGACATGGAAGATTTATCAACACTTCACACGCATTATCTGACAACACRCCACTTGTGTTGCTCTCAGCATAAAGTCCTCCTCCTGATGAGTTTAAGTTGGTTTTAAAGAGCARACAGCTGCAGGAAGGACTCTCTGAACACAGGAACTTTGCATCAAAATGCCAAACGAGTTTGCGACTGAATATGAGCCCCTGCTCATAAAAGAGTTCAAAGATAAAAAGCRGTTAAAGGTAGGTGTTACATTTCGTCAACAAAAACCAGGTGTGTCTTTTTCTTTTTTGTCGATGATTTTTGAGAAAATGTTGGGTCTAAATGTTTTTTTTTTTCCATCTTTGCAGCTTCCAAACAAATCTCTTGTGCTGGCTGTATTTGCTGCTTGTATAGGAGGAACCTTTCAGTATGGATATAACATCTCTGTCATCAATGCTCCCACTATGGTAAATAACTGAATCAGAACATCAGGATTTCTCTGAAATATATAAAGCTGAGGATAGAATAACTTTGTAGAGTTATTGAGCTGATAGTTATTAGTCATGTTGTTTTATCAGAACAAATGTTGGAGTCTTAGTAAAAAATAATCCACACGATTAGCTCACTTTAACTCACTGATCAAATTACAATTTAGTTTCTCTTTCTAGTACGTACAAAACTTCATCAACCGCACCTGGATGCAGCGTTACCAAACCAACATATCAGAAGGTGGCCTCACTCTGCTCTGGTCCACCATAGTGTCCATCTTCACTTTAGGGGGACTCATAGGGGTTTCAATCAGTGGGACGTTGTCTCTGAAGCTGGGGAGGTGAGAGACGAAAACATCGGGTACAAGTGTTTTACATTTTGTTGCTCGTATCAAAGATTTTGAGACAAAACGTGGCTGTTTCAGGAGAGGAACGCTGCTGAGTAACAACATCTTCTCATTACTGGCTGCTCTGCTGATGGGTCTGAGCTCCACCGCTGGATCGTTTGAGTTACTCATCATTGGACGTCTGCTGAGTGGAGTAAATGCAGGTAAATGTTTAGTAATGAATTTAGGATGTTCACCCTTAAAAGAGTACACAATCCAAAAGTGAAATGTAAGTTTAATTGTTTATAGTTGCTAAAACTATCCTTTAAAATTGAATAGAGGATTTACAGTTGAAAACTGAACTACTTTCATCTAAATCTTGCTGTAAAAACACTTTTAGTCCATAAAAAGATAAGTATTGTATTGATCTGAATCAATTTCATGCATCTATTATAGTT